GAAGACGGCTCGGTACTGGTGGTGGTGCCCGTGCTTGTGCTTCAAGTGCGAGCTGCTAGCAGTTCACGCACTTCCAAGGAGCGAGTCACTCGCGCTTGGACAGAGAGTACATCTCTGGAAATCATCGGCGCCTGTAGGTTTTATTCTGTAGATCATGTTCCCTTCAGTGACCACTGCCTTGTTTTTTTTTATGCTCTGTTCACCTAGAGAGTCTGCTAAAAAGTTTGGTTGGGAATTTTTGGAAATTTAACACAAAGCTTCAAGAAGATTATCTTTTTCTAAATGGGGCTCGGCAAAGTCTCGACGATTTCGGTCGGAGAAAAGTGGAAGGCTTCGGAGAAAAATGGGAATTATTTAAACAAGACTTAAAAATGAAAGCACTTGAACGGTCCAGTATATTGAAACAAAAAAGAAGAAAAGAGAAACGAGACAGTTAAGCCAACTGCTACAAAGGTTGCTACAAGTAGAATGTCGTACGCCCGGCATTTTCGCTGATGACATACAGTAGTCCGTTTGAGAAAGAAACTGGGGCTTTCGATACTGAACGGTACAAAGGGACCTTGGTGCCAGCGCGATTAAAACGGTTATCACTTGGCGAGATTCCAACAAAACGAGCCCTCTGAATAGAAAAGACGTACGCCAGTAAGAATTAGATCAGCGAAATGTTATACCAAGAAAATGTAATCAACGATGAAGAAATAATTGAATGCGCGTTCGTTCGCGTTCATAGACTATATAAGAGCTTATTAGTTTTCGTGCCCCCAAATAAACACGGGTTCCAGATGCAATTTTCGCCGTTAATGCCAAAACTAGAGCACGTAGAAAATATAAAAATCGAAAAATCGCCTGGTCCGGATTGTTTAAGAGGAGAATTCTATAAGGCTTTCAAAGACAAAATTGCAGGTTTTTTGCATGGAGTGTTTATACTATATTAATTTAGTTTATATTCAGGGAGGCGCACGATTTCAATGCTTTGCCTTTATATTTTTTGTATATGCACAAGAGTTTTATTCCGAAAAGTGATGATCGCGAAAGACTCCGTCTTATTGGGCCTTATCGTCCAATAACTTTGACGAACGTTGATTAGAAGATTTTGATGAAAATTCTTGCTGACAGGTTACAAAGTGCATTAGAAATTATTATCTGCGCACACCAGACGTGTGGTATCAAGGGAAGAAGTATTGTTACGAACATTCATGTTGCACGTAGTATTTTAGAATGCTGTGATAGTTTCGACCGTAAGGTGGCACTGTTGCAGGTCGATCTAGAGAAAGCTTTTGACCGCGTATCTCACGAAATTCTTTTTTTTTTTCTATCTTAAATCATGGGAATCTGGGTTCCGTTTCATGTGATCGTGTGCGGATGGCGTACCAAAACTGTGCCACCAGCTAGTTGTCAAAAAGCGTGTCAGTGAGCGTATATTAGGCTTTTTTCGTCTGTGCGACAGGGTTGTCCACTTTCGCCGTTCCTTTTTTTTTGTATTTTTCTTGAACCTTTTTGCTTAAGCATTTTTAACAACAATCATTTACGTGGGTTCAAGCTACAAGCTACCGAAGTTATTATTGTTTCTTATGCAGATGACGTATCTATTTTTTGTGTTGACGAAGGAAGTGTTCGAAGAGCGGTTGACGTAACCAAAAGTTTTGTGAGCACACGTGTAGTGCAGTGAACTAGTACAAGTACCGGTTTTTGGCACGGTAATTAATTCCCCATGCCGACTGTGTTTGAAGTCATTGAATAGCCAGCCGGCAACAAACAGGCGGCACCGCCAGAGTGAGAGTCCACGGTTATACCCTGTCTCGTTGTAACTTGGAAAAGGGTGAACGATAAGCCCTACATTGCGTGCCGACGGCTTCGATACGCGCTACCTATACGGGCGCAATGCACAGATATTAGAACATGACGGAGCGAAAAGCCTGACACTTCTCAGTGAAAGCGCACTCCGGTGATATGTAATCACGTTCCGATTGGCCTGCCAGGACCGTAGTTTCCGCCGTACTGGCATGTCATGCGATCACGGCTTCCTGGTCTACCCAGTATTTTTTTGCTTCAGACAGTATGCTAAGCGGCGCCATCGGAGTAATAGCTCGCGTTTGAACAATGCAGTCGCCACTCCCAGGCATACCCAATGTTTCTTGCTTCAGTCGCCAGGTAGCGCCAAACCAAACAGCATTGTAGGTTGCCTATGGTCCTACACGCTGCATTGGTGCGTTATCTCGGGATGCCTTTGGAGCATTATCGCGCCAGCGGCCAGGGGCCCTCTGGACACTTGGCGAGAAAGACGGCGAGGAATCTGACGGCTATGATTGGCCGGCCCCAAGGTCAAGTGCGGCGTCGGCCAATCACAGCCGCCAGATTTCTCGCCGACGTTTTCGCCAAGTATCCAGATTAGGGCCCCAGTACTGGCACGATGAAACAGAATCTCTCAGTGCAAAGACTTTGAAATGGGGAGGGAAGTGCTTGTCCATTTTTTTGGCGTGCAACTCCGTGCAACAATGTTTTCGCTTTGTGCAAGAATGTTTTCGCTGAAAACCTGTGGTATCTCTTGCAAGTTTTGCATTGTTCACGAGCCAATATTCAATGCATGCATCGGGCATTTGCTGTTTTTATGTGGTGTTCGGCGTGGGAGAGATCAAGGCGATCAAATCTCTTTCGTCGGGACAAGTCTGACGGTCTCGGTCTTTCGCATTTGTTCATCAGACAGCTGGTCAACAGGTTTCTTCTTCTTCGAAACCAGGCAGACCCTTTTTTACGAACTGTAATTCAGGTAAGGCTGCGCAATCTGTTGCCCGAGTTTATAGCGGCGATAAGCGATGAACTCAGCTTTGATGTCCAGGATTATTTGAAGGAAGTTATCGGAGCCTATCGGTTTTTGGCAACACGTTAAAAAAAAAAAAAGATGGGCTATGTGTATGTTATACAGCCTAGAAATTGGTCTGCCTCAACGGGCGACGAGTCTACCAGCTGTAGATGAGCAATTTATCCAGCGCTGTACAACTGCTAGCCGGGGGTCTTTAACGTACATCACGCAGTAGTGATACACGACCGCACGCCGGTACGATGCCCATCCAGATCGAAAAACACGTTTTTCATTAGAGTATTTGTCTGGCGTTTCAAGCAAACGTCTGTCGAAAGACCTGATCGAGTTGCTTTTTCCTACACCTTTGTGTCGATCGCTGTACAGCGCAGGCACTGGGCAGGATGTTCTCAAACGAGTCAAGAAAATGGTAGTTCCCGCGTGTACTAAATCATTTTTATTCAAGTTACATAGCGGATCGCTTCCTGTAAAAGCTTGGTTAGTTGAAACGAGCATACCAGTAGCATGGTCAGAAAACTGGTTATTGTGCAAATAGCCAGAAACCATTTAACATGTATTCCGGAATAGCGGGGCACAGCGTTTTTTTTGGACGCCCTTCAAAGGACTGTAATAAAAGATCTCCCTTTAACGTCCCACGGCATTCGGTTCTTGTATGCAGAAAAAGGTAATGTACCCTATGATATGTTCATGCTCGTGGGACCGCACAGTATATGCTGATGCCGTAAGGCGGTACGTCATGCTGATGTCGATGTGCGGCCGCGTCTACTTGAGTGGCCGCCACTTCTGGAGGTCTTGACCTCCATCAAAGACTTTTAGCTCTGACCATCAGCCTGAAAGGCTGATTGTTTTACCTTTTTAGTCTATCTTGATAACTATGTGCGCCACCAGTGACAAATAGGCAATAAAGAAAATAAAAAAAAAGATCGTGAGACGCTGAAACGACACTCTCTTAATGATCTGTATGGTCTGGGTTAGACTTCCGCCTGGTGCAAACGCTCTTTTACTGCAAAGATTCAACACCAACTTGCCCAACAGTCAGCATTGATAAAAACGAATGCATTTTAAGCATTTTGAGCTTACCTTAGTAGTATAAAGCCTTTCGAATAAAGAAAAGGTAAACGGTATACGTTTGTCACTAAAAGATTAGTGAAACTCGTGATTTTTTTGGAAAACGCAAGTAAAGGCCCGTTCACACAGTTGCGACCTCTTAGAACCTGGTGCCTTGGAACCTCTTAATATCTCTTACAACGAGAGGACACACTGGCGCCATCTATTGGGTAGCAGTGTAAACTTGGCGGTCCGGCATATTTTCTATTTCTCTCGCGCAATATCCTTTCTTTTTTGGCTCGAAAAACTTGTCAACGTTATAAATGAGCCTTTCTTATAGGTATTACGCACATTTGACATCGGAAATCCCGCAAAACCTTCGCTCTTGTGAAATGCCGTTCCAGGGTCACCGCATCGATGGCGCCAGAGTGCCAATGTGTTCTCTCGTCCTAAGAAATTTTAAGAGGTTTCAACAGGTCTCGTTTCTCTCGGTCGTGCTCGGTTGCAAGAGTGTGAACGGGCCTTAAAGCTCTTCACTGCAGCTGAAACGTGTTCGCCCAGAAAACAAATCTTTTAGTGGGAATAACGTAAAGAATTATATCACGCTTACCATTTTGTTTGTAGCATAGTAAAGAAGAATTGACCACAAAAACGTTCCATATATATTTTATTAACCGTACTCTCTCCTCAAAGCATGTTCGTTACTGTCTTACTTTCGAGTGAAGCTGGGATATACTCACACATTTTTAATCGTTCATACGTGAGGAAACATCAATATTCTGTTCGCTTAGAGGCCTGTAAAACCTCTCTGTTTGGTTTGACTTCGAAAAAAAAAAAAAAACAACAACAACAAGAAATGACGGCGAGCCGAGTAGGAGAATGTAATTTGTGTTAGACTTAGGAGCATGAGCTTAAGAGTTGAGACTTATGAGAACAAGCTCAGACGTCAGAGCACGATATAAAATTTATAATCGCCGAATTCAGAAACCTCACTCAAACTACACTCAAACTGAAGGGCCCCTCCACTTTCTCGAGGAAGGCGCGAGGGCCGGCGCTGTCCAATCGCGACGGCGGATCCGTCCTCGGGATTGGCCAGCGCCGGCTCTCGCGCCTTCCTCGAGGAAGCGGAGGGGACCTTCAGTTCGAGTGTAGTTTGAGTGAGGTTTCTGGAATTCGGCGGTAAATCATTTGACTTTAATCTTTAAATATAAAACATTGTACGAGTACAAGCATAGCAAACTAGGGGCATGTTTTGAGCAATGATAATGATTGATAGCTGCGGCAATTCATCTATCTCACATTGATGAAGGCTAAGCTAAGTTGACCACAAATAGCTCCCCTAGCTCCTCTGACTTAAAAAAAAAGACTCATTATAAGTCTCGTTAGCTTACTCTGCGATGCTTATCAGTGTTATCACACAGAAAACGCAAGAAGCATATTTGTTTACAATGTCAAGGGATTGCCATTAGTAATAGGAAAGCTTTCTATTTTCCTGCTGCAACGAGGCGCTTCATGTAGGAGTCCCTCAAGGCCCTCCGCAGATTCTTTCCAGTGTCCGACTTGGGAATGTTGGACACAAATTCGATCCCTCCGTGAAGCTGCTTATGTGGAGCTGACTGGTCTGCAAAATACAAAACAAAAGCAAACCGAACAAAATGTTTATTTAAGCGGGGTAGGTCAACCTGTTTGTGGGTTTTTAATCTAACGACGTTGCGTCGTTAATATATTTGGAGTCATTTTTGGCGTTAGTCTCGTGAAGTCGGTGTTCTTTTTGTAATTTCTTAAAAAAAAAAATTTTTTTTCGTCAGTAAAGTCTGGTTCAGACACTTGCGACCGACTCCGACGCAACCTGTTTTTAAGCCCTTTGGGACTGCTTACGAGAGGCAGCGCAACAGCAGCGATGTTGGTCGTAAGCGGTTTAAAAGCCGGTTGCGTCAGAGTCGGTGCTAGTCGGTCGCAAGTGTGTGGGTGCTAGTCGGTCGCAAGTGTATGAATCAGCCTTATGAACCCTCTTAGTCGGTCTGGTGCCAGTTAATTGAACCAAAAGTGAAAGGGGAGCCGCGACATGACGCGATCTTTCCTACGTGGGGCCGTGTGCCTTGCTTCAGTGCTTGAAGTTGAAGCGGGAGTGGGAGATCAAAAGCAGGCAAGCACATACCTGAGATCAGTTTCTTCAATTGGCCTTCCAGCGCCTTGCTTTCAAGGAAACCTTGAAAGAGGACGACGTACGCTCGTGCGGCTTCGCCGAAGTCTGAGTGAGGCACGCCGATGACGACGACTTCTTTTACGGCCTCGTGCTTTAGTAAGAGGTCCTCAAGCTCCGCAGGCGAGACCTGCTGATCCATACACTTGATGAGCTCCTTGATGCGGTCCACGATGTAGAAGTATCCGTCTTTAGTGTAGTACCCAATGTCCCCTACGAAGCACCAGAAGTTCTTTAGAATAGTTGGACATCTCAGTCACCGCTGTGGGAATCTGATATTTTTCATTCAACTGCAAACTACCTGAACTCAACTGAACTACAAACTACCTCAATTTAACTTAACTCAACTACAAACTGCCTCAACAAAACTCAACTACAAACTACCTCAACTCAACTCAATTTAAAGCTACCTCAACTCAACTCATTTAAACTACAAACTACCTCAACGCAACCACAAACTACATAAACTCAATTCAGCTCACATAAAAACTACCTCAACTCAACTAAAACTACCTCAACTCGACTTAGCTCGACTCATACTTACTCAACCCGAACTCAACTCAACTCAACTGAGCTCAACTCAACACAACACAGCAAAGCATCCCATTCAGAATTATCAACGGCTTCGCTATGGGCTCTTTCTTTACACGAGACAAACAAAAAAGGGGCCGAATTGTAAACAATGGAAAACTTCTACATTAAGCTGAAAAAAAAACACACACACAAAAAAAAGAAAAAGAACAAACGAGCAAGCACACATATACCGTTTCCAGTAAGACGGTGTGTGTGCTCGTTCATTTTTTTTAAAATTTTTTTCCAGACTCGGGTTGATACAGGGATACAATTCAGAACGCTTCTTTATGACCTCGTATTTTTAACCCTTAGAAAGAAATTATATTCCTGTTCCTTGGGGTATTGAAAATGTATCCAGATCAAAAAGGTAATTAAAATAACTTTGGAGTTTAGGGATCGCTCTTGTGCGGTGCACCAATTCTCTTCTTCTATTTGTTAAATCACGTTTTGCGATGTTGCTAACGAGCAAACGACATTTAAGTTAATACAGATACCACACACCGGCAGTGGTCAACGTCTCGATAATACGCTAGATAATGTGCACGTTTTTATTTTATCATAATCTCCATAATTATGCGCTACGTACTCCTGTAACTAAGAAAGGCGAATTGTTCTTCACTTATTTTAAAAGACAGTGTGATAAACGGCGAAAAATAAATCGTGTCAAACTAAAAATTAAGGTTATTATCAAACGTATACTTCTCTTCAGAAGAGGCACCCCTAAAATAGCGGAAGTGATGCAGGCAAGTGTTACTTGGTGAAGATGAGTCGAAAAGGAATAATGTAACAAAAGACGAGTTAAATATCTCTAAGGAGTACTGTAACCAGTTAAAATTTAAGCTAAGAACAATAAATACAGTCTGCAGAGAGAAGAACCCGCACCAGTTTTAAGAAAGCCTTCGTCGTCGTAAAGCTTGGCAGTAGCTTCAGGCTTGTTGAAGTAGCCGCGAACACAGTAAATCGATTTTACACAAACTTCTCCCAGCTGATGAGGTCCAAGCTTCTTTCCTGTGCCGACGTCCACAACCTGATATACGGGAACACGACATTTTAAGGTTACGCTTCAAACATTGTGGGCTAAATTCCGAAATGAGCACGTACCTTCATTTGCGTCAAGGGGTTGGGCATTCCGACGCTCTCATAGTGTTCTAAGCTGGCAGGAGTGACTGAGATTGCCCCACAAGTTTCGCTCAGACCATACACTGATAAAGAAAATAAATATACGGCTTATGAGACAAAAATTACAGGAGAACAAAAACACCATGCACTTTCCCATTTGTCCTGATTATCAATGTTTTAAAGCCAAACCTACATGGCGAGCAAGTGTTCCAAAATGCGTCCTTGGCGCATTCGAACGCAAGTAGGGGCTCCGGACACGCGAAGACCAACTCACGGAGTGGCGCAGCCCCCCTTCTGCATGCATTCGTGGGTTCATAGTCAATCTTTCTAATTTCTTATTCAACCTTTTGCATTTCTAAGTGCAAGGGAACAAACCGTGTATAGAAATTACTTTTCATCAAAAACGAACCACTGGGTGTTGATAGCCAATATAAAGCAAAACAATAGGAACAAATGGTGTAAATAGTTCTAAAGTTGATTAAATACGGTTAGATAATGCGTAAGGCATATCTGAAATATACAACAAAACATCATCTAGCCGGTTGAAATGTTTTTTTTTTTTTTTAATAACGCCTCATCGTGAAAAAAAAAAAAAGTGATTGGGCTAGCCTCAGGCTCGTCACATTGGTAGGCGAACAAGCCACACGATAAATTCATCAATTTTAAGACTAATAGTGTCGGGATATGCTTGCTTTGAAAGGTTCATTCATGGTTTCCAAGCTACAAAGAAAATACAAATCAATGGTGCGAACTTCCTTCTTCGGCAAGCAAGTAGATACCAGGCTCCGAACACACCAGCACTGAGGGGATAGCTCTGAATTGTGAATATCTTGGTGTTCAAGGCCTCGCACAAGTGGCCGAAATGTAGGCACTGTGCCTACTCAGTAGCGTCGCCGCTGTGGACACCAGTTACCGTGTCTGAAACTCTTGAGCTTCAGTTTGTCGATGATTCCCCGAGCGACCACAGTTGGCGTCGTGCTTCCCCCGATGATGAGCTTTTTCATGGTGCTCAGATCGTGCTTGTTTACCAAGGGACACTGCAACAACTTTTGGGCGGACGTTGGGAACTGGATCATCTGCGTAACCTGCAAAGGGCAGTGTGGGCTATTAATTGTCAACCAATGATCCACAAAAAAATTCCGACGACAACAACGAATATTGACGCTGCGTGCTTATCAAGTGTACCCTTATTTTTAGAGCCCTGCACGGATGACAGTTTGGTCATCTGCATCCGATCCGCATCCGCAGACTTTGTATCTGCATCCGAACCGCATCCGCAAAATTCGGGACCGCATCCGACCCTCAGTCTGCGCACTCATTTTACATCACAAAATCAGGCATGAATAAAAAACAAGTACTTGGATGGTATTCTATAAGCCGTCTGCTTACTCTTCGTGTCAGAATACGCTGAAATATATTTTATCGTATTCTGTTTTATCGTATTTATATGCCTTTTTCGCTTAGTTTCGTCCCCAGCCACCTGGAAGGCATATCCCGTATGGGCGACGAAAAAATAATAAAACATTTCAACCTGCAAATAGTAAGAAAAAATTGAGGGGAGACAAAACGAGAATGGGTGACGGTTACGCTCATACCCGAAATGTATTTTATTGGCGTGGCGACGGCAAAACAATGTTTTCGCCAATACTGGAAGTGACGATATTATAAGACGGCGGCGCCCTCGTGAAAAAGGTCTAAATAATCATAGCGATCATTCTTTCAGAGACACTCCGCATCGCTGGAAAACTGATCGCAGTTATGAGATTGTGTTGGGAGTCCGCGACACGGACACTCTGTCCAGATTATGCACTCAAAAGGAAGACAATTTCGGTATTTATTTTCCCCTTTGCTTTGTAAAACCCACTTCAAGCAGACGCATATTTTATAAACATGGAAATGAACAAATGACGGACTAATAACAATATGTCATTTTATTTTGGTCAAACAATAAAAAAGTGGGAAAGGAAAGGCGCTCACTCACCGCAGCAAAATACTCGTGTAATGCGGTAACGTGTATATGCGGTATATGCGGTACACCACTGGGAAAACATCACAATATCCAATAATAGAAACACCTCCTATCGGTTTCAGTTTTAAACACGAACCCTCAACTGCATGATCGGAACCATATACTTTAAAACAACTCAGTGCAAAGTGTCGAGAAAAAGAAAACGCGCAGACACGCAACGTTTCACTCGTCGAGGTTGCCGTTAGAAGAAACAGGATATCATCAACATGGTCGGATTCAGACTGGCTCGGCTCTCTTAAATAATACCCGCTAATGAGAAGTCTCTCTCGGTTGGTGCACGTTCTAAAACAATCTTTGGCGAGAATCAGATCTTTCTTGACGTAGAGCATTTTTTCTCCCCTATTGGCACCTTTTATCTAAGAGAGTGATTTGTTGCCGCAAAACATTCGATGATGCACTTCCCAGTATCACTCACTGCGTAGTCGCACACGTTTATAGATCGCCTAAAAAAAAAAAAGTAGATTCGGTCTTGCGGATATACGCCTCCAATGATCCAATTCGCATCCGCAGACCCTGCCATCCGAAGGCCCTGCCATCCGCAGGCCCTGCCATCCGCAGGCCCTTGCCATCCGCAGGCCCTTGCCATCCGCGTCCAATCCGCAACAAGCCAAATCAGATTAATTTTTATCCGCATCTGCCAGTTTACTGTGGATCTCCGCGGATGATCCACGGGGAATCCGCGGGTATGCAGGGTTCTACTTATTTTGGCAAGTGCCAAGTGGGTGCTTGATCTTAACAAGCTCGCGTGCAGTGTCACTTTCGTAACTCAACTAGGATACTCTAGTGACTCAATGCAGTTTGTAAATTATGATACTGAGAGTTTAATGTAGGCAACCAACGAGATTGGGGTATTAGTCGATGAGAACGGCAGGAGAACAAATCACAAATGGTTAAGTCAGTAAGCCACGCATCGCGTTTTCCAAGTTGTCAGTGTCTTTAATACTAATTAACGTTCAGTGATTCAGAATGTGCTGCTACCACCACCCGTGCAGTAACTGGGCGAGTATGAGCCCAATAAATTAAAGTACATCCATAATTTAATGAACGCCTGGGCGCTAATTTTTTTTGCAGAGCAATCGGGCGGACAATTAAGGAGTGAAGGATCTACAGGGAATGACGAAGCTCAAAATACGATCAGACCTGTAGGTGCGCAGACAACGAGCAGGTCAAATGTGTATCACTCTAACCCAGCACTTCGAGCCTCATTAATTTCAGAACCATCATACATATCGCCGCGCACCGATCATCCACTAAAAGTAGGAATCCCCTACTGCATCACTTCCACCTTTTATGCCTCCTTCCTACCTCTGACCTCCGTCGACTGGAACCGCCTTCCCGCATCCGTAGTCTCACTTACTGACGCTGCTGATTTTAAAACCGCCATAACTGATGTTCTTAACAATGTTCCATAGCGATTCTGTACCTTGTGTTTGTTTGTTTTTTGCGTTTTGTTATTATTGTTCACCTTATATTGATGTATATATTTCCACTCCTCTCTGTAATGCCTTCGGGCCCTGAGAGTATAATAAATGAAATGAAATGAAATGTCGTGCCCGTCATCCATGTGAACATTCAGATCGAACCGTTTTTTCTAAGCCTCGTCGTTCGCTTAAATCATTCCGTTTCTTCGCTGTGATTGGCTGCGTGCGTGTTTGCCGGCAGTTACAGGTGATGCTTTTATAGTGCATAGCAATAAAAATTGGCTTCGAGTGATGAGTAAAACCTTGACAGAAAAAGCGACTGGAAATGAGTCGACCGCAAGGGGTGGTCAACTCTATATACTCACAAATAGACTGTTCTCAAAGGGGAAGAGAGAGAAGTGAGCAAACTTTAATGCACGTTTAAGAGGTTATGCCATCAGTTCACAAGAAACAGACACTTGAGTAACCCTGAAGTTCGTTTTACACCGTAACAAAAAAAAAAAAAAAAAAAGAAAAAGAAAAAAAAAAAGAAAAAACACTGACACATTGAAAAGGTCCAGTACGTGTTGCTTGACTTGAAAACTACTACACCTGTCGGAACTTGGTCTTAAATATTCGACCATGTGTGACTGTTTAAAACGTGTCCTTTTAATTTATTAAAATCAAAGTATTGGAAACGCGCCATTCTAGTTCAACTTTTTGAAGGTATGCGCCATGACCCGGAGATACTGATGAACATCCGGGAGAGCTAGTTCTCGAGTCAAGGCAGGTTCTTAGAAAATGACGGCGAACCATTTGAGAGCCGAGGTCAGTCAGGGGGGAGCCAGCATTCATTAGAAGAAGAGCACAAACGAAATCACGCTTCAATTATAGGTCACCGAGAGGTCAACTACTGGTCGACTAGAGGAGATCACGCATAACCAGTTGCCACCCGGAAGAGAAAACTGAGGTCAGTTGGGGGTGAAGTAGAAGAAATGAAGGCAAATCTAAATGGCATGTAAGACGGCGGGTCAACCGGGTAGGTCAGGCGGGGGATCACCTTATATTTTTCGATGGCCGGGATAACGTCTTCGGGCTCATTCTTGCTGGGCATGACGACTGTGGCGCCGACCGAGAGGGCGGTGCTGTACAGCCACAGACCAGACACGTGCGTGAATGGTGCTGTCCCAAGCATGATGTCGTTCTTCTCCATGAGCCTCGAGCCGCCGTCGCTAGAAATGGCATGAGAGGAGAAGGCTAATTGAAGCTCAGCAACAGTGAAAACAGTTTACATAACCTAAACACCCGCACCCTTCTAAAGACAATTTCCTAACATCTGCAAACACTAAAAACATTAACCCCCCCGTAAAAAAAAACAAAAACAAAAAAAAAAAACAAGCATATTTGTCATAATTTTTGCCCTATTACTGAGAGATGGTTCTGGTAAACGTTGCATTTACCCGTAATTCAGATTTTCGCACCAAAAAAAGAAAAATAAATAGCATTTTACGTTTTAAGATATAGATAGTTCCACGTGCCTTTGCACTCCCTCGTATCAGACTAACTTTCGCTCACAGTAAAAGAAAAAGTATATATATCTATAAACTTTTTTTTTTTTCTTTTTTACTGCGAGCGAAAGTCAGTTTTATGCGAAGGAATGCAAAGAAATGTAAACCTAAGCTTGACTTCTATAGTCGGTGACAGGTTAAGATTTCAGGGGAAGCGCCTCCCACCCTTCTCCACTTTAGCAGAGCGAACGCTATAGAGAGGAGGTCGCCTCCTCTCCAGAGTTCGCTCTGCTAAACTGGAAAGAGGTGGGAGGAGCTTCCCCTGATTTCAACCTGTCACTGGCTATAAAATATTTACATGTGAAATCACTTTCTTCCCCCCCCCCCCCAAAAATCGCATCGTTTTGTAAAATTCCCTGTAATTGAAAAAAAAAAAGAAGGTTATTTGGAGTTTTGCAATGGTCTATTTTTCAGGTATACCTGAATGTTTCTGGATTATTGTGTGGTGAATTGATTTCCAGCGTCGAAATGAAAGAGCCCATAAAATGACTTTCGGGCTTTCGCTGCATTGCCTAAATTTATTTCCAGAATTTCAAATAGAAAATGCGCGTCTGCTGCTCTCTTCACGCACTGTGTGCCACAAAGGAAAAAGGTGGGGGGGGGGGGGGGGGGTGCAGTTCTAAACTGCTTAACTGATGTCCCAGAACAAGCAGCGCCATGTTCTGTCACCAACCGGAACGCGCAATGCTCAGAGCGCCGTCTGTGCTACGTACATTGCTTAGGTTCGGTGATTTCTGTCACCACACTTGGCTAAGATAGTGAACCTGGATCATCCACCGGCACATTGAGTGCATCACAGCGCAAGTCGAGGGATGAGGCAATGCTCGTGTCCGATTCATGAGCCTAATAGACCGATCTCACCAGCCAGTTTGACTACGCCACCGCTGCCGCAATGCATCGAGGGAACTTGTGTCTTTTTGCGCGTGCGACAACCTCGCTGGAGCTCTGCGCGTGCAGGGCACGAACAGTCTCGTGCACTGCCGAATGCCTCCTGTGAACTAAAGTTATGGCTGCCTCGCGCAAGCGCCAAACGCTTGGTGCGATCGGTCTATTGGGCTGTCCTGTTTTGTGATCGTCAAATGTCAGTGTCTAGAGACACATTACGATAAAAGGGAGTTCTAGCAGATCGTCTTTGTCTACCGATAACGACACCCCATACCCCGCCGGAGCCTTTGTCCGTGCATTTTATCGTTATAAAGTGTGAAATATGCTTATTGATGCGATACAAAAAGGCACATCATGATAAAAAGGAGCTTTAGCAGATCGTTTTTGTGTACCGATAACGACGCCCCATACCCCGCCGGAGCCTTTGTGCGTGCATTTTATGTGTCAAATATGTTTATAAAGTGTCAAATATGTTTATTGATGCGAAGAAAAAAGACGATATATTTAGAAAGCTAACTAAAACTCAGCAAGCTCACCGAAGAAGGAGACGAGGTGAAAGAAGAAGAAGGAGTGAAAGAAGTAGAAGAAGAAGGAGTGAAAGAAGAACAAGAAGAAGAAAAAGAGACAGAAAGTAATTTCTTTTATTAATTTTACAGCGGAGATCTTGCTTGTGGCTCATCTTTATGATATAGCGTACTTCTGCCCAACTGCGCAACATGGGCGTCATAAAACTCACAGCTACCTTTAAGAATAAAACAATACGTAGTGCCCCTGAATATATCACGGATGGTAGCCTTATTCTTGTCTTCCGCAGAAATTCCGTGCTCCCAAAACTACCATTCCGCAAGGTGACAGAAAAAAGTAATGCCCTCGATGAAGTCCTCTAAGATAAGATCTCTCGCGCATGGTCGTGCTTGCGTCTGCGGTGTCCAGGTGCAGGGACCACACCCGCCAGAGAAGTTCAACGGGTGGCGGTCCAGCGGGATGTTTGCGCAACTCGGGCATACTTCGGAGCCTTACAGCGAACACGCCCATTTGTCATGACGTAAGGACTCGGGCGTGGTCCTTCCTTGTAAAAGAAGCCGCGCGGGAAAAGGGCACGCTCCCACACGGAGAATGAGCACCAATGAGCGCGAACAATCAATAAAGGTAAAAAAAAAGAGTGAATAAAGGCGCGAACAACACGCGCACAATGCTGTGTCTTTCAGCAACCTGCTTTTGCCTTTGTGCGGCCTAATTGCAACGCTGCGGTCTGCGTGGAACCGCGTTTTTGTTTTATGAAGTTGGACATTCAAGCTGCCTGATTTAAGCAATAAGTTCTTAAGTCCCATCATAAATCCCTAATGCAATCGTTTTTTTTTTGGTTTGTTTTGTTTTATAATGACCGAAAATGATGAATGTACTTTCCAGTAATAACTTTCGAACCGAAATATTTGTCCATTTATCTTCTTCAGCAATTTCGTTTTTGGTGTTATGGTGTCAATATGCATGCTGGCGGATTTACTGTTTGCATACGGTGTTGGCGCTGAGAAATGTTTGGATGACTTGGGAGTACTTCATGAAACCTCAAAGTAAGCCTATCTCACAGTCTTCTACCGATGCAAGGAAGTTTACATACAAGCGACGTCTAAGGCCAACGTTCTATGACCCGCGGAAATGAAAACATGAGCACTATCTGCAGTTAAAAAGGTGTAACAGTGCTGCTAAGCTGATCCCATTGCGTCCAAGACTAAAAACCCAGAAAGCTTTTTGTCTTCGGTATTCCTTGTACAAATCAGTCCTCCATACAACAATTTTCTACTCCAGTTTTTGTTAATGTCTTTGCACTAATCTAAGCCTTGTTACTGGCATAACGTGTTATGGACGTTACAGACGGGGATTCGCCCCCAATTCGGAGCGCGAACTTCGCGTGTGCTCCTACTCCCGGTTCAAAATTGTTTCTTGCCTATTTATGCAGCACGCAGTGGCCAACAGGTGCGCCAAAATGAGACACATGCCAAAAACAAAAAAAATTAAAAGAAGGAGAAGAAAGGAAAAGTAAAGAAAATTGGCTTTGCGTACCCTGAAACCAGCACCTGGGCGAGGAAGTTTTTGTGGGACATCATTACTCCCTTGGGAAGTCCCGTTGTACCACTGGAGTAGAGTATAGCCATGATATCCTGAGGATCGATGGACTCTGGCGGGTGGAATTCGCTGAGAGGAGACTGCTTCAACGTCGAGAAGGAAATCATGTCCGGTCGCTGGCCGATGACAACCAGCGTCTGCGAAAGCGCGGAGACATGAAGTTGGCCGAAAACGGCACCCCATTCGGCGGGAGTCTATAGCACGAGAGTGCCGCAGTATTTCGTGCCCCAATAGACTTCCGGTAGTTTATTTGTTCGTTCTTTCGAGACGGTCGGCCATCGAAAAGCGATTTAAAGTGCGAGGTTTGCAGTACAAAGGGCGAGGAGGAGCCGAAAACGTCGATCGTCTGCAAGCGTCTTCCAGCGTCTCCAATAGACCCCTTTTCGAAAGAATGCTCTCTGTTGGCAGATGTGGAATCCTTGTACAATGGCGGACTAAAACAGAAACGTCGCTGCACACTTTATGCGTTGGGTCGGATTAGAAGGCAAAAACACGCCCACAGAAAAATTTGATGAGCGCAGTGAGGTTGCACTTTCGACGCTGTTGATTGGCTCGTCGTCACATAGTGTTAGCCTCGCTCCGACGTTCGCTTTCTCACAGAATAACACAGAATATGAGGAAGGGACGAGGGACGGACAACCACGACAAACGACAACTTCCATGGAAGTTGTCGTTTGTCGTTGTTGCCTGTCCCTTGTCCCTTCCTCCTATACTGCACTTTTAACAACACCCTTGTCATTTACTTATAGAACTAATTGCACGTTCCACGATGTCAGTTGTTCCGCCATTGTGCAGTGGTTCTCATCTTCTATTAATCGGCACGTGACTTTCGAAAGTCACGTGTCGATTATTAAAAGGTCAGAACCAATGTACAATGGCGCAACAACCAACATCGGGAAACGTGCAAGTCATTCCATAAAATAGCGAACGTCGGATCGCGGTGCAGCGCTAGGAGCCGACGAGCCAATGAAACAGCGTTGAAAGTGCAACGTCACTGAGCTCATCACCTTTCTTTGTAGATGTGTTTTTGCCTTCTAATCCAACCCAACACATAAACTGTTCCGTGACGTTGCGGTTTCAGCCTGCCATTGTACGGGTATTCCACAGCTGCCAACAGAGGGCAGTCTTTCGAAAGGGGTCGATTGCTTGGCTCAGTCACTCCGCTCGTCATCCTCCTCGCCACCGGCCAACTTACGCATGCTCATGAGCAACCAGTTTGTGCGGGAGGTGTCCGCCATTAAAATGCACACGCTCTTCGTGGTTTGAGTTGCTTCCTCCCTTAAATCTAGGCTGTCTATCTAGATCAATGGCTAGACATTGTACGTCTGAAAAGAGAGACCAGTGACTAGCGACTGTGCCTGATAGTGGTTCCATAAGAGTGCCTATGATATCGAACATCGGATGAAATGAGAAAAAAAAACATAATAAACAACATGGATGGAACATGAAACAACCGTGCCGTTAGAAAACCGGTCCCATTGTGGGAGGGCGGTTTTTAATTTCTTTAGTATAAACATGAAAACGAAAAAAACGTTTTCGGCCGGTTCTGGCACGGCAGTAAAGTAAACGGTATTTTGGTAACGCTATGCTGAAACTTCCTAATGAAATTGAGCGCCAGACAGCTGCACGATGAAAAGTCCATCGAGTGATATGATGACCCGTCAGAAAGGTGGCCGAATCCAAAACAAATCAGCGTGGTTCGATTTGGTCATGACTTTTAAGGTTGCTGGTGCTCACGAAAGGAAGGATTGCACAAATGGTATGCGCATCGGAAATCTTGGAGGTCATTATCCTTGGTGGTTTGTGCGTGGAGAAATTCTCGCAAATCGTACACCCAATTCACACGGCAGCGTAAAGTTACCTTTAACTTAGGTCCCCTGAAGGTACCTGTAGTAAACGGCGTTCTTGATCACTCGATAAATAAACGGAGCACTTTAATTTGATGTCGATTGCGTTCCTGCTAAACCGCGCGAGGAGCGCGTGTTAAACAATCATTCCTCGAAATCGGTTTGAAGCGCAGTTTTTGATTATTGTGTGTGAAATATTACATTTAAAACCTAAATAACATTTGTATAGGCTTTTGCGGCACTTTATTTTTTTTTTCTCTAAGGGCGCACCTAAATGACTTTTGCTTTAAAATGTCTGGCCCCTCTGGCCACACTGGTCCTAAATCATCTGCGTTTGGGAGTATCCATTGCGAGGTGGGCGCCATTTTTATGTTTAGCAGCGCCATTTTTTGCAAAGTTTTCACTAAGGTAGCTAAATAGTGCCCGGCAGAAACGGAGCCTCACGATTACGCCAGTCAGGCCATCAAAAGGGATGGACGACGACAAGGATAAAAGGTCCTGGGCGGGAGAGTCGGGCGACTCGTCTGCAACCTCGAAAAAGAACTCGCAGTGGTCTACCGCGTTCGGGTTCGTAGCATACATTGTTTTCCCCTTGCCGCCGCTGCTACCTGCTAGCTGGAGCATGCGATCCTGGTTAATGTATTATTCCATCACATTTGTGCTCACAATCATTTCATAATTTGATACTTATATATATTCAATTTGTTATAATCCATTAAACAAGATATATTTATATATCTGTGATCTTTGTTTTGAGTTCGTGGGTCCGAGGCTACTCCCTGTAGCTCTAAAGGGAGCTTGGCGAGCTCCGTTTAACACAGGACTTCCCTTAGCGAAAGGGACCTTTATGCGCCGTGTGATTACGATCTCCAGCTCCCTTTAATACAGGTACCTGTGCCAAAGGTACCACCTTTACGCTGCCATGTGAATTGGGTATTATTCGACTTCCCGATTTGCCGTACGACACGTATGACGTTTTGCTGTACATGTGTATAATGCTTTAGCCCCACTATACTCTTTCATCACAACCGGTACGCTACAAAAATACTTTTATAGAAGCATTAACTAGTTCACGACAGCTACACTGTTCTGCAAATGCGCACAGGGCTCTTTACACAAAAATGTGTGACAGGTCCTCTACTCGTGCACGTGTTTTTGCTTTTGTTTTTTTGTTTTGGCGGTGAGATACGATGTTATCCGGTCGCCCTCAGTCGTTTCCAAGCGCCATTTAGCATTCGAAAACTCGGGAAAATGTGTGCTTGTTTCTGGAAACATCTTGTAACTATACGATATGATCCATCGGACTTTAGGCGCACGACTATCTCTTTATATAACCATTCAAAGCGAAAGAGTGCGGCTAAGAAAAAAAAATAACACAAGTTTCCGTCTACCGAAACAGTCGTGCACATGAGCGGATCCGTCATGAGTGTTGGTGTCCACAGCTCCTACCTCGGCATGGGCATTTAAGTTAAGGTCATCATTCTTCACTCAACACATGAAAAGCTATGCAGCGAAGGGAACATCCTTTTCTATTACTAATTTAAGGTTTAATGTCTACCCCCGTTAAATTAAACATCAAACTAAACAATTCGCGTGTTAAGAGACTTACCAAATACCATTTTGGACTTACCTTCACTGATGGAAGTGTTTTGCAGGCTTTCAAGGTCTTATCCGCATTTTGTTCATCGCAGAAAACTATGCTTGGGCCCGAATCACCAAACTGATATGCCACTTCTCCTGTAAATAAAATAAAATAAAATAAAACAAAATAAAACCGAAAAGACGGGGATACAAATAAATAAAACATCGGAATCACAAAATTTTCCTGAAGGCCACGTCGAGGCCCGGAAGGGAATAAAACTGAGAGATATAATCCTCGATGTGCTCCCACCTCGAAATACGGAAATTTATATTTAGTTCCAAGACCGAAAGGTGAACTGAAAAATTCGTGGAAGTTAGTTTTAAATTCAAAATTCACGACCTGGATTACTTCTTAACCTTCGTGCAACCCCCTGCAGCGTTACGTGTTGGAAAGGGACCTGTAGGCTACAGAACCAACATATTAAGCCAACCAGGAGCGTGGCTCATTGCTCGTATACGTTCACGCACTTGCTTCGCGATTTGTTCTTCGGCGTGTTTATCAGCTAATACCATAATCTCGCTGGCGGCAGAGCGACACATATGGTACTCAAGACTCGCCACACCCGGCTTAAGCTGGCGGCGAATATATACAAACTGTTCTGTTCTAGTTGGTCCATAACTAAAAAAAAAAAAAATTATTAGGCGGGGATAAATAAAAATTTCGCCGCGAAGACAACGCTGTAAAACGGCATTAGCCCGACTGCGTTGCTTAATCTATATCATACCCTTTTACTGTTTGCAAACATGGTCAGCCTCTTGCGTCCCAAGCGACTTCCGGTTTTTGCAAGCCTGTCGAGCTTGCTTACGTCATCGGTGCTAGAAAGCATAAATGCTACACGGACAACAAAGTTGAAGATTTGGCGAGGGCCTTCGGCTGTACAATTTAACGACTTGGAGGAGATAAGTTGATTTACAAGAATATTTGAAAAATTTGAACATATCTCGCACTCCTTCGTTCTTTTAGTGTTCACCTGGAGAATTGGTGGTTAAACGTTCCATCGACATTTTAAGCAGCGGTGTTAATTGGTGGGCTTTGTTCACAACTTTTATGAACAGGAAGCTCTCTGGGACTTCAAAGACTGGTGGCGTTTGCCATAAAAAGGTTCTATACTCAATTCAGTGTTGGACAAAATACTTGATAAAAATATTTAAGTTATGCTACTAAATACCCGCTTCATAAAGTATTTAAATTGCTACTCAAGTTACCTTCACTGTAAATTATCTTGAGTAGAGTACAAATAATTAAACATGTAATTCAATTACTTTTAAAGATGCTTCCGCATTGCGTAATTTGTATCGACGTCAGTGACAAAAAACACAATTATATAGTTGTGCAAATCTGGTTCACCGGGATGGTGTATTAGCACGCCACAAAACAATACGAAAAAGACAAAACAGAAACACACGCGAAAAACACCGTTGGGCTCTTTTATGCAGTCCGACTATAATGAGCAGGATATCACTGATACATGTTAGAAAACATTTTTGAAACCCCCTCCCCCCCCCCCCCCCCCCCCAAAAAAAAAAGAAAAAAAAAGAGCGGTCACTTTAGTTGTAGTGACATCGCTGAATATCACGTCATGTGGCGCACCTTAGACGCATCGTTTACCTACTAGCCATATTCCCTATATGGGGAGTTCACTCTAAATGAACTTGGGACACGGATATGAGTGAATGGATAACAAAGAGAACCCACATAATAGCCACGGCAGTGGTCGCACATTCTTCAAGTAGGGTAAGTTTAGAAAGGCACTCAACGTCGGGGGACGCTTTGTTGGGATTTTGAGAGGTCATCCAGCCTTTAGCTTGTTGCCTGTCCTATTCTCTGCTTATCAATGTTCCCTTACAGACAGTTCGCGAGAACAATAAATGCCAACTTGAGAAAAAAAAAAAAAAAAACGCCTTGAAGTTTTGTCGTAGCGCGGTCAAATATAGAACAAGCAAAAAAAAAGTGTCTTAATTTTGTGTCCACTGCTGATTTTATTCTATTTTCTTGACACTGAAGTCTGCGTTGCTGTCGTGGGTTGTTTCCCGTTCTGCGTTGCGTCCAGGGGCGGATGCAGGAATTTCTAGAAGGGGGGGGGGGTCAGATGTTGGTCAGCGTACCATATGTTTAGGCTGTATACTTTCCGGTTTTAACCGAAAAACACCGACAAACATCCGCCGGTGTCGAAAATACAAAATCAGTTATAACCGATATACACCGTTTTTTTTTCATATCTTTGAAAAAGCGCTGGTTACTTTCACCGAAAATTCCTGCATATTTTCCAGTTTAAACCGAAAAACATCAATAAACATCCGCCGGTGACGGAAATTAAAATTGTTCAAAACAAAAAAACACCGGTTTCTAAATATATTTTTCCCAGCAACGTTGTGTAGTTTCTTTTCTTTTTTTTTTACCGAAAAAGTTCTACGCAAACTTCCGTCAAACACATTATCTTATTTGGAATCATGCACTTTGCCTGACTTTCTTTTGTGACCTATGTGGTCTTAAACTCTTGGAGGACAGTAGCTTGGTTCTACTGTTCTCCAAGGTCAGCAGTCCTCCTGTGCCGTTAAGCTTGAATATCACTATCAGTGGCCCGAGAGGCCAGTCTCAGCTGGCCAGCACTGTCCCAAACCACGTTGGGAGTTTTGTGGCTTCCCGTGTCCAGCGCAAATGTAGAGCGGGAATTCTCGAAATTGCGCGTCGTTAACAGGAAGAACCGAACGTCAGTGACAAACACGAGCCTAGGAATTTATGCATGCATATACTACAATAATGAAGTGTGAAAGAAGTTCTGTAAAAGATGTAGATAAAATTTACGCTGGTTTTCGTCTTGAAAGGTTGTTTACATTCGCTATTTTTCCCCTGATAATCACCGTTTTTAGCATCCGGACGAGAAAATTGACCGAAAAGCGCCGGTATTGGTGAACTAAATAAACACCGAAAAACATCCGCCGATATTTGTCATAAATCAACACCGGAAAGTATACACCCTACATATGTTTAGGACCCCCCCCCTCCCCCGTTTGTACGCTATCAATTTTTACACATGCAGAAATCAAGAAGGGGGCCAGGACATCCGGACCCCCCCCCCCCCCCCCCCCCCCTCTAAATCCGCCCCTGGTTGCGCCTCAGTGTGGCAATCTTTACTTCCGTAATGGGAGAAACTCCGGGAAACAAAAGGCGCCTCTGGGAAGGCGAGGAGAATACCTTCACTGTACGAACTTTGGGGTGAAATATGAGTGGCACAAAAGCGATCTTTCCACGAACTCAATCTAAGTCACCGTAGCTTATTGGTAGGGCTCCGTGTTTTCGGATAAATCCGAAAAACTCCGAAAAACACCCGCCAGTAAAAATTTTGGTCAATTCGGATTTATCCGATAAACTCCGAATATTTATGTGTCAATGCCACTCCCCCCCCCCCTCCCTCCCCCCCCCCCCCCCCCCCCCCCGGCAAAAGAAAAAATAAGACTTTTTTTTCACAGTTTGATCAGCACAGAGCCAATGGTCCCGGGAAAATTCCACCATAATTATCTTTCAATTCTCGGACCGTTGTCAAAAGGGGTCCTGCCGCTTGTCTCTTCAAGGTTGAATCAGGCTAACAGGTCGTTCGTTGTGCATTCGGGTCACGGCAAAAGTCACTCTTTTGGTTTCCAGTTTGGGCCATGCGATTTGTGATTTAGAGAAAGGAAAGGGTATGTCTTAGTAACAGTGAAAGCTACGGACCATAGGGATTGTATAAAAATTGGTTAGAGGGGCAGCTCAAACTCTCTATTACCTCCTTAACCACTCCACCTCGCGCGGCCGCGGGCTAGATTGATGGAAGAGGGTGGGATGACTACGAGCTTCCTAGCGACTACCTCCGGGAGTTTATTGATTTTAAGGTATCGGCGTTTATCGAAGCGCCACTCGTGTGTGACTTTTGTCGTGGATAAATTAGTATTGCCAGTGGCAATGGCACCAATGCCAAATTCAACTGAAGATATTTTAATTGATACAAGCGTGTTTTATTTTTTATCTGGCATACATTTACATTTGGTTATTTATTTAATTATTTTTATAGGAAACACAGCGAAATTAAACTCCGAATTTCAGAGAATTGAGAATCAAGAAAATATAAACTCCGATAAACTCCGAATCTTCGGCAAAAAATAAACTCCGAAAAACACCCTCCGAACGACACTCTAGCCAACCTAATGCTTAAAATCATGGTGGCAAGTTATCTGAAGCTTTATCTGAAATCGTAAGAGCGCTTTTCCGTCCTCCAGACATGTTCAAACACTTCGCGACAAAGCAAAACTATAACACGTGAGCTTCCTAACACCGCATCTTAAGCTGAGGAAGGCACATTTTTTAATTGTCACGATCGACAGTTCCGTCTGCTCTGCACTAAGCGCCAAGATGGCAGCGCCCACTAGCAGATCTGGGAACGGAGTGCCGATACTCTAAGCGCGGTATATTTAACGGCTATTGTGCTATTGTGCTCATGCACTAGCGACGGCAATGCTCAACCTCAGATAAGAAGTTTCCTCAGTTCGTTTCGAGCAATCCGGCACGGATTTCCCTTCCTTATAGCAGACCCTTTCCGAAATTCAGTCTGGCCACTTTGATGACTATCATCATCTAAGTGTGTATAATCTGTACTTGATAATGCCGGCTTTTTGGTGGATACCGAAGAAAGAAGTTAAAGACAAGCACCTACGCGGGGCTTAAACATTCCAGACGTTAGTTCGTTGTTACCGTGACGAGACTTGTAAGCTTCTGTGCGCTATGCATTTGAGGGTGTCATGTAAATCTCTTGAACGCCCGGCTTCGGCACGCCCCTGACAAGTTCATTACAAAAAGATGTGCTAAATGTCATGAAGCGTTTTACTACACCTCGTTTCAGCTTAGACGCAGCCAATGCTACAAGCGCAAGCTCCGGCCGCACGCACAAGTAAAAACAACAACAACAACAACAACAAAAACCCTGCTAAGCACGCGCGTTTGTGCAGTGCGAGCACTGTTCAGGGCCACATGCTCGCGCCTGTAGCATCGGCTGCGTCTGGACTTAAGCTCAAACGAAGTATAAACTAAGCGCCTCGTACATAGTGATTGTTTCTTGACATTATCCAAAATTAAAACAAAGAAAAAAACCTGTACAGCGAAGAACATTGTAACTTTCGTACGTCTGGCATTATAGAAGAGCTACTAAATTTTAGCCACCATTAGCATACAAAAATGTTGACTGATATTTGAGCCACTAATGACACTGAATTTGTGAAATGGTCTATAATCGACACTATATAACGTTGATTATGATTACATCATCCCCACTGATAATTTAGAGGGACCACTGACGTTGCGTGAGGTTGGATTTGGCGAAGACGACGCTGCCCCCGGCGAAGAGCGCCCCGTAAAAGGCAAAGACCAGGTCCAGGTTGACCGTGCTATGAATGCCCGCCATGTCTCCGGGACGGAAGCCCAGCTTCTTGAGACCGACGGCCACTCTGGAGCACAGTTCTTCCAGCCTCTGGAAGCTGCATCGTTCGCCCGTCTCATCTTCAATCTGAAAAGAAAAAGATGGAAGGCTCGTCAGACTTCTCTAAAGTCGGTGACAGGTTGATGCAGTAGAGGCTTCGTTGTCTTCCTCTGGGCCTTAGCTGCGCGTGCGCCGAAGTGTTATCAAAGACGGAAAGCTCTCGCTGGAGGCGGACCATCTATACTCGATTCCAAACCTGCCAACGAGTGATCTAGTGAGCTTGTACGAATCGCGAGATTCATTACACTGTGTGGAGAGATTATCATTATTGTATCGCTTTGGTATTTCTCTAATAATATCAAATGAAGACCAGCAGTTCAGTCACCCCTCCCTCCTTTGTGATTCCCCCCAAAAAAGTTGCACCAGACTGTGAAATAGTGACGCATCAACAAACTTTGACTGATAAGGCTCTATTTATTTATGTGAAGTAGAAGAAAACTATTTCAGTCAATCTTGATTTCAATAATAAAAAAAAAAGTTACTAGATTCTGCATCTGAAACATTTCCTACCGTTTGGAAGCGCTCTGTTGTTGTTCCAATACATAAATCGGGTGATCGAGCCATGGTTAACAACTATAGGCCAGTCTCCCTCCTTTGTAGTTTGTCTAAAGTTTATGAAATTGTTTTGCACACCCGCCTTTATGCATATTTTTGTCGGAAGATTATTCCTGAGCAGCATGGTTCCATGAAAGGCCGCTCCTAAGAAACAAACCTGTGTTCCTTCCTACATCAGATTGTACGATCTGTCCATAGCGGAGGACAAGCGGATGTAGTTTACTTTGATATGAGCAAAGCTTTTGACAAATTTAATCACCGACTACTGTTGAGTAAACTCTGTAGTTACGGTCTGTCCCTTAAGTACTGTCGTCTCCTCGATAGTTACGTATCTCATCGGCTGAACTTTGTGCGAGTATCCGACCGATTATCTTCCTCTTTTTAATCTATTTCTGGGGTTCCTCAAGGCAGTAACCTCGGTCCTTTGCTGTTTTTAGTTTTTCTAAATGATCTAGCTTCCTGTGTTAAACACACGCGGTTTTTGTTATTTGCTGATGGCATAAGTTGTTTACAGCGGTTAAAACGGTTGACGATTGTGAATGTCTTCAGCGCGATATAGATTCTATTTCGTCGTGGTGTTTTTCAAATTACCTACTCTTAAATGAGTCAAAGACGAAAGTTATGTCCTTTACTAGGAAGCGTGAAATTCTGAGTTTTCCTTAAGTATTAGATTCCACCAATATTACTCGCGTTGAGGTCATCTGTGATCTAGGCGTTTTTATAAATCCTGCAATTAATTTCAATCGTCACGTGACTACAATTACGAATGCTTCCTTTCGAGTGCTGGGAGCCATTACACGAGTGACACGCGATTTTTCTAAACCACTTTGTATTTTACGTTTGTTTCCTTCACTGGTGCGTAGTCGTGTTGAATATGCCTCAGTTGTCTGGAACTGTATTGGAGTGACATATTCAGGTGTAATTGAGAGTGTTCAACGTAGGTTCGTTCGTGTTTTGTTTGATCGTTATTTTCAACCGAATTATTTCTATAGTTTTGAGAGGATTTGTGAACTCGTGAAGTTAGACTCATTGCACAACAGGAAAACAATTTGTGAACTGACATATTTGTATAAGATTGTAAATGGTATAATTGATACCCAAGAGCTACTTAGTCACATCTACTTGCAGGTTCCTCGTCAGTCTTGTAGCCTTTATACTTTGTTTTACCCTACCGACTTTTACCATGCTACACCCATGAGAGGCCTGCAACTGACTGATAACCATTTAGAACAAGTTTGTGCGAATGTTAGCCGTGATATTTTTGATGAAAAGCGTAAATTTCGAAAGTGTGTTGAGGCTATTGTTTTCTTCCTAACGTTTCGCTTTTATCCTGTTTAGCCTTTTTGTACTCATTGACTCATTGATAAGTACACCACTAAGGAGGCGTTAAGCTGTTGGTGGGTCACTGAAGCTATAAATAAATAAATAAATAAATAAATACTTGTGTTTCTTAATTTCTTTTACGGCATAGCTCTAAACAAACAAAGGGACCGGTAGTCGAATGTGTTAGCGCACAGCAGTTTGTAGCACGTGGACGTCTGACTAGAAATGACAATTGTCTATATTTATTTATTTATTTATTCATACTGCTCGCCTTTTTCAAGGCTTTGGCAGGAGTGGTACAACATAAAGTCAAATATACAATGCTCTGTTACATAATATCAACAGCGTTGGCAGTGCCCCACAGCACTGCAGCACTAAATACAAGCATCAATTCACACCAAAAGAAACACAAGCGTGCAAGAGATAAACGTGAAAATGCAGTTATTTCAAAATCAAAACACTATCGGAATCACACATATGAAGGAAGAGCAAGGCAAACGTGCAACAAGGTTTTGACAGAATCATATCTACTAGGCTCGCGACAAAAACCGTGACAACGAACCCCATCGACCACGTTGGCCAGCAATGACTTGGAACCTAGTTCCAAGTCATTGCTGGCCAAACCTTGCTGTGAATCTTGTTTTGAACCTTGCTGTACGCGTGAGCCTAGTTCAACCGAATGATTCGATTTTACAAGTGCTCGCGCACAACAAGCATTATACAAAACCACGCGCTTGTGCCCGTGCCTCTGTCAACACTACAGGTGTTTGTGAGATTGAGCCAGACTTGTGCCTATCTCAAATACTCTACTCAAGATGCTGTATTCCAAATACCTTTTGAAGTACCTAATACTTTTTTTTTAAGTATGTTGGTATCTTCCGAATGCTTTTTGAAGTATCTTGGTATCTTGCAAATACTTTTGATCGAGAGTATTTGATACTCACTTGCAGTATGTTGCAATGACTGGCAACTTTTTTCCGGGACCATATTGCCCGGATTTCTTAATATGTGTAAAAACCCTCTAAAGCCTACAAATCAACAAAAGCAATTATATTTCCTTCTTCCAACCACGGGCCACAAGGAGATCACATCGACTGTCAATCAAAGAATTTTCTGCTAAAAACAATGCATTTCTTCATTCGTTTTTTCCACGCACTATCCGCGAGTGGAATTCCTTGCCAGCTGACGTGGTCGAGAGTGTTTCTTTATCACAGTTTCTATCACAAATTGAATAGACAATCTTGTTTTGAACCTTGCTGTGCGCTTTGCTGCACCTTGCTGCACCTTGCTCAAGGAACTTGATACCCATATCCACGGGTAGTTCGTGTGTGAAGAAACCCAATTCTGGGCAGCATTCTTGGATGCACTGGAGGACAGTCTGCTTGCATTCATTGGTCTTATCCCCCACCTCTTTGGTATGTAGTATCAGGAAGTCATTAACATACTCAAGGATGGCCGTGATTCTTTTTTCTTTTAAGTTATCCTTGATGGCCCTTCCACGTGCTGCCAGGGACAAATCACACAGTTGGGCTTTGCGAGACCCAATGCATACTCCACTTTTTTGTAGAAAGTGTTGGCCTTGGTTGCGTTTGATTCAGGAAGTTCCAAAACCACAAAACGAAGTGTTGCGAGCACCGCTTTTCTATCGGCCTTAAAGAAATCGTGTCACCATAATACTGCAGTTTTTAAAGACAAATTCCTCGTTTACGAGACTCTGGATATCCGAATGTTCTCTTGTTCAGCGTGTGTGAAAACATCTCCACAAAACCGAAGTGCAAAACATCGGACACAGATAGAACGCAGCAAACAAAAGATAAACGAAAGATCGCAATATTACCCTAAATCACTGGAATAACACACAAGTTAAAAAGGATAGCTGCGAGGCAGGACATCAAGGTTGTGTGCTCTGTACTAAACAAAGCTTACTCCATGTGCCGTAAGGTAAACCAGGACACCAACCACATGGAAATCTTCAACATCTCTCACAGGACACGATATGCCCCATCTGAAAATGGGGTTGTATATCACATTCCCTTATCGTGTGGCAAGATTTATATTGGCCAAACTGGCAGATGCATTAACGAGAAGACAAGAGAACACGCAGCGCCTTTAAAAGGAACAACAGCAGGTCATCTACCAGCATATTGCCGCAAATGTGAATGCAGTTGCGGCAATGTCACCATCACCTTCACCATCATCGCAAAACACAAGAACCAGTATGCACGAAAGATGCTCGAGACCTTGGTCATAGGAGAAAACGAAGCAACGCGCGTCAGGGAGCCTTCAATCAAGGTCAATAAAGAAAAATAAAAAAAATTGTGGTGTTTTATGTCCCAGTGAAGTGCGGGTGAAGGGTGGCAATCTTTACTTTCCTAAAACCACCCCTTTGTTTGAGGATTGTTCTGGGGAAATTATAGGAAACAAAAGGCGCCTTTGGGAAGGCGAGGAGAAAACATCCATTGTACGAACTTTGGGTTGAAATATGAGTCACAATCAGCACAAAAGCGATGTTTTCACGAGCTCAATCTAAGTCACCGTAGCTTATCGGAGCTAGCAACAGGATTTGGTTTCTCAAAAGAATACTCACGTTTGCTCGTGCTACGCCCACGCCACTCTATACTGAAAAACTCGGAAAAAGGCGGAATGTCAAAAATGTATTTGAGGTAATAAGTACAATATACTCGGAAATGTTATTAAAATACAGTATCAAATACTCTCCAACAAAAGCATTTGCAAGATACCAAGATACTTAAGTATTTGAAATACAGTATCTTGAGTAGAGTATTTGAGATAGGCACAAGTCTGGTACCAGACATTGAATCGGAGGTTGTTCCATCCAATGAGGTGACATTTGTGGGGATCGGTGCATACTGCTCAACCACAAAAAGGACAAGATAGGGTATACATATAAAAACAGAAGTTCGAGGTCAGCATCCAGTCTTCGACTGACTCGCGAGCTCATCGGGAGCTCGCGCTCGTGCTCATGGTGCGCCCCTGAACGTCTCTGCCGGCGCCAGCGCGCAGATAGCTGGCGGCTTACCAGACACTTCACCGAACGCCGTTTCAGCGTATCGCCTCACGCCATTTAGTCAAATGCCGTAAAGGAAATTGTGATGTTAGAAGGTCAATTAGTAGATGATGATAACGCCATTAATACAAAGGTACAGCTTCATTTTTTTATTACCATAAATACTTGATTGCGTTGGTAATGTTTTATCACAACTTTGTGGAAATGCGACATAGAAATACAGTGGACATGTGACTCATTGAAAGTCATGCTCAGAAAAACGCGCACTTTAAGTATAATAATATTCACCCTATTCATATGTTGGCGGCCGGTAAAAAAAACTGTACAAGCAGCTTGACTGGCCCCCAGCCCCCGAAACAGGCTCACATGCAGTTGTGGCGAAAATATATAAAGCAGGGTCGTTTCTTGACACAAAAACAAAATAAAAAAAAAAGGAACAAGACACATATCAACAATAAAATGGTTGTGAGTGGGCATAAGCCCCAAACAGAAATGCAACAGTCAAATGCAATACACACTGAAACATTTATATAACGTAAAATAACTTTGGTTTGGGGTTAGCAGAAGAATAAAGCAGTGAACATTATTTATCTTCACAGAAAGTAGTTAAAATTCCGTGAGCTGATGGATGCTATATCAATATTGGTTTGCGTAAATGTTAGACATGAATGAAATAGTGCGAACTTGACAAGGACGAAAAAAGGCAAACGTACGACAGGACTGGCGCTAGGTCCCTTGCAACTATAGGTGCCTTGCAAGACATATTTTACATACATATTTGTACTGCCCATCTATTGAATCAGGCGGAAGCGTGTCACCCTCCTGGATAATTACACTGAGAGTATAAGGAAAGAGAAAACGGAAAACAATGACGAGACAACAAACCTGACAGGTTAGTCACGGCTTGCTATTTTTTACAGAAGGAAAGGGAGCAGGCAATGAATGTAGCAATGAAAACGACACTGGCATGAATCCTTTGCCATGAAACACCCTTCGTGCTGTAGTTGTTGTCCTTTAGAGCCCATCCAGCGAAGGCAATGAGCATGACTTTAGGTTCACGAAAGAACTTAAAAAATAAAGTCAATCTGAGATCGCGTCTCCTGCTCGCCTGGTCACAGGAAGATCTGATTTCAGTAGTCGCCCTCAAAACTATTTTTGACAAAGACGTCATCAGCATTCTTGTGGGTTTTGTTATGCGCAACAAAATAACCTTTGTTTAGCCGCATCAGAAGATGAGATTCTTTCCCGGAAATCCTTTGCTGAAGTGCTCGCGTGCAGGTTTTTGTTTATCTTGTAATTCCCCCAACACAACTAAATTGAATAAAATGAAAAGAAATGGAAGGTGTAGGACCAAAATGGTAGTCTATCCGAGGCGAGATTAACTTTTCCGTCTTGAGGGGAGAGGAGAGGTGGTAAAAATATATACGTGCCGGAGGAGAAAAAAAAAAAGATTGAAGACAGGCGGATGCATAGAAGTAATTAGGGCGGACGTTCCCTAGGCTGCGTTATGCACTGATTAGGTTGTCATTTTGTTTTTCAAAGTCTAGAAGATAGTCCCACCGCATCCATCAGGTCCAGCATCGGTTAGAGTGCCGCTGACCGATTGGTTCATGCACTTCTCGGGAACACGAGACTGCGTTGTGTTGGCGTTCATAACAAACTTGCCGAACATATCTATTAGCGTCTTTCTGTGGTACTGGTACGTTGGTCACGCCCAGAAGGCATGATCTATCTCTTCAGGTTGACTGCACAACTCGCGATTAGCCGTGTTCTACCGTCTGAGGTACAATAACGACGAAAACCAAGCACGTAGAAGCTCACTGGACTTCTTGAGAAAGCAATTAGGCATGACCGGGCTGAGCACATTTTTATGAAGGGGGAAGGGGGGGAGGGGGGGGGGGAACGGAGGGGGGGTGGAGGGTCTATCTTGTTCCCCCGTGCTCAAAAACAAGTTGGTGCGCCACTGGTCAGGATGATCACATTCACGCTGATCACTGGGTCATCATCGACATTTATCCTGTAGGCAGCAAGTGTGGTTTCGATGCTGATGTATGCGACAGATGAGAGCCGAAAGGAAAGAATCTAACGAAGAGCAGACGACGAGAGCGGGAAATCCGACGGGAGGCGTGCGCGCTTGATCGCGAGAGCCAGTGCTGTCACGTGACTATAACGCCCGCAAAACGGAGACATACGCAGAGTCCTGACGCAGCCGATGCTAAAAGCGTGAAAATCTGGCCCTGAACAGTGCTTGTACTGCACGAGCGCGCGTGATGGGCAGAGACGCTGAAAACCCGGAGCTCGCTCTTGTAATAGCTTCTGCTACGCCCGCACTTGAAGTGAAACGGCGTATAACAGCGCGTCCGCAAACTCGCAACTTAGCCTGCATTCGAATATATCCTTCCTTTAAAATATTTAACAATAATTCAATTGATTTGATCAAAAGGGAGGAAATTGTACGCTTATAGAAGAAAAATAAATGCCAAATACGCGAACAATTGACACTGAGCAACGTATTGTTGTTCCGCAGGATCGTTTTCTTGTTCGAAGCAGCACATACCTCCAGGCGAGAAAGGGCGACGGAGGCCCCAGCTTCTCTCTAAGCGTTTTGAACCAATCTCAACTCCGTAGCGTGAAAAAAAAAAGTAAAAAAAAAAAAAAAAACGAGAAAAGGACACACACAAAAACAAGTTTTTACAACAGTTTTTTTCGACGTTACTAATCCTAGTCACACTCACACATGCTGTGGACCTACTTTAAACGTTGTAAGCTCACCTGCAATGAGTGAAAGCACTTAATCACATTCGAGTGACTGTGCACCGAAGAACCAGTCTGCATTTGTACGCACCGACCAGATTCCCAAACTACCGCCGTTTTGCACACCCGGGTCTCCGCGCTCTCCGAGTAAAAAGAATGCATTAGTACTTGGAGAGAAATCAGGCAATATGATGTATCCGCATGGTCACTTAACAGGCCGAGCAGTGGCAGCACTAGGGTTAGCGGTACCCGGTGCAGTTGCCCGCTAAACCCCCCCCCCCCCCCCCCCCCCCCCCCCCCCCGCTATAGTGACGCCGGCCACTGAAGCTAAGCAGAACCCGATGAGAATGCAGTGCAGCGCCACGACACTTTATACAAAATCAGACGTGCTGCGGCTTTCGCTATGGCACGTGACATACCATTATATAAGCGCAGTATCTCAGTTAGTTTTTTTTGTTTTTTTAAGTGGCAACTGTGGGCACCTTAAAAAGAAAACATAACAAAGATATTACACCATTCCAACTGAATATTTTGGTATATTTATTGTTTTGCTGCTCGATCAAGATCAAGCTCATTTTTCACTCGGGTAAGCGATTAGGCAATTAAGTCGCCAGTTAAAGCCGTAGTCCTAAATAAAGTCTTCGTAACTGCTTTGGCATCAGTCTTTCAGCTTTTAATTAGTGTCAGCCGGAAAAATCCCGACCCATTAATACACAAGTTGAGGAAGAAACCCCGAACATGTATATTTTATTTGAGCAGGTTTTTTTTTTTTATTCGGGAGTAGTAATTCGACGATTTAGTCATGTTGTAAATATTTTTAGTTGCCTCACGGGGAATTGTATAATTTCCAATCCGCCACTAGGAAACGGAAAATCGACGCGAAGAAAAAAAGTCGTTAATTGGAAAAATGGTCAAAACCACCATCAGTCATCTGCTGGCAATGGTACCATGACTGACCCAACACGGTTAATATACCAATTTAAACGTGGCCCTTTTTCGCGCTGGGGACGTGACAACTCGCACAAGAGATGCTATCTTAGCCAGTTTGTTCTCCGCGCATTGAAATCCTCGTGACATGATACGCAGGAGAAAGCGCTATAGCCAGACATCGCAGCGTGCTTCGCAAAAGGAGGGGGAAAAAAGTCTCACTTATCGAGCCACAAACCCCGGAAAACAACGTCAACCTTCGACCCTCCCGCCATCATTCACACAGCGCCTAAAGCCACGAAAAAGAGCGCACTCGTATCGCAATTTACGGACCCCTTGGCCATACAGTGTAAAACGGGCGAAGACTTCCTCCTAATCCAAAGCGTCACTTGCCTTAAAAAAGAGACAGAAAAACAAAAACAAAAGTGAAAACAGCCCCAGCACGAGCGTTTTCGTAACATGGACCTACCAGAGCAGTCCGGTCCTTGAACTTCCTGCAGGTGCTGCGAAAGAAAGCACCGACGTCCACGTCTGGAATGGGCAGGTCCTGGACTGTTGAGCGGACCACTCCGTCCTCGATGACTACCGACATGAGTCTGTCAATCTCTAAGTCCAGTTCTTGTCTCGGCAAGCGAAATGCGCTAGGTTCGGGCATTCTTTTATTATATAACACAGGTCCGACCGACTATCGTCTCAGCGATCGCAAGCAGCCAAGCTGCGCGGGCCTGCTCCACTGAGTGTGCTCAGTCACGCAATGAATACAAGCTGCTGAATGTACTCTCGTTGTCCCTTGAGTGCCGCAGTCAAGGCCAACATGCGATCTTAATTGCGGAAAGTCGGAGAAGCACTGGTTATATCTGCATTTCAGCAGCGAGCGCCCCGGAAGGAGGGGACGCTTTACCGCCACGCAAGCAGCGAGACAAGATTAGCATTGATAAGAGCTATTGTAAAATCATCGTCGTTTTCAAGGCCTCGGCCTACATCTGTGGACGGAAGCCAACCCACCTTCTGTGGAGATTCGATACGAGACCTTTGTAGGTCACTTTTGATTATAGCAAGACACACGAGCTCCTTCCGATTTTGATGATTCAATTGTATGCTATATGGTTTTATTCGGACGAATCTACTCTGAAATATGTATGGCTCGTGCAAAGTGAAAGAAACATTAGAGTTTGAACGGTTCTAGTATTACTCGTGAAGAATAATCAAGGATCTACATTCCACTTGGATAAAGGTTGCACCGGCATTATCTGGCTTTCGTAATTATTCACTGATATGCGCGTGGAAACAGCCCGGCGAGATATCCCACAGCACGGGCAGGATTTTGCCCTCTGAGCGGCAAATCTTCGAGAGGCTGAAATCCCACTGTTGACGGGAAGTCGAACAGGTGAGAAACCAAAAGCTGAACCCTTGTTTTATGTTTGCCTCATGCCTGCGGCGCCAAACTTAGGGTTCAACGTGTTTCCGGTTTTATTATGTTGCCTAATATTCACCAGCTCACCTGGGACCTCAGTCTTCTTTCAGAGTTATCTCGATTGCTTTATGAACTTTCACCGACGCTGCTTCTTTATTGAAAAGAAGGAAAGCGAAGAATCACAAGTAGTCAGGCAAACAGTTATCCATTGAATCAGATTATGAAGGGTACTTTTACAATTTGACTCGGACAATAAACTTTGATGAACTTTGAGATGCGAACATCTCATGTATATGGTGATCGCTCAAAACCTCTCAAATAATATCCATAAAAAAAAAAAAAAAACGAAAAACAGTGAGTGAACATTTTTTAGGGTATTCTTTTAGGTCAAGTTGTCTGAGTAAAGAAGAAGGGGCTCCGCGTCTGCACATATGCCCGTACGACAAAGCGTCGTATTATTGTATTACACCGAGTGTTCCATTCTATTTCGAACAGATTTATTACAGAGCATTCCTAAAAGATGCACTAATACAGCTTGGGCAGGTAAGTCATACGGCCAGGGGGACATCATATAGGTGCTAATCTTTGCGATAAGTCGGATAATTAACTAAGCTTCCTTAATTAACTTCTTAGTTAGTAAAAATAATCATATGGTTTTAATTAGAAACTTTGCTTTCCGACACTGCTAGCTTTGCGCCCGCTGCACAAGTGGTAACTCTGGTGCTCCCCCGAGTTTCCCACGAGCTTCAAGTCGTTCTAAAATTGACTGATATAGTGGTTTTTGATTATGCTCGGCGTCTATCTAGTTAAAACCATATGATATTTTTACTAATTTAAAATTTAATGAAGAAAGTTTAGTTGATTATCCGACTTATCGCGAAGATTAGCCACCTGTATGATGTCCCCGTGGCCGTATAACTCACCTGCCCAAACTGTATTAGTGTATCGTTTACGGATTGTTTCTAATAAATCTGTTCGAATTAAAATGGAACACATGTTATGCAGAACTACGTAAACTGTGCTCGGTAAGAGAGACCGTTCACATTAAAACAACAAGCCCAAGAAAACAAGACTAATTTTCAGTGACGAAGACTGGACACAAGTTTTTCAACGAATCATATATAAAGCTCTGGAGTTGGATGAGATGGGGGGAGCTATAAATCTTGAGAAAGTATGAAAAGGAACTGTGCTTTAAAGCACAACAAATACTAGACAGTTGAAGCCTGAATCAGGAATCCAAAGTTGAAGCCTCCTTTTTTTTTGTGTGTGTGAAACCGTTTTTGATTGTAGCGTATGTCCTGTGTCCTCCTTCTACTTCGTGTCCCGTCCTTTTTGCGCTGGTTTTTAAAATGTCGTTTTTGATTGTTTCATGCTTTTGTTTTTATCTTAGTGGAGTCCGGCATCACGACTAAGACCAGGAGATGCCAAGATTCATTTACCCTTACAAAAAACCAGACACGAAGGCATGAAAAAAAAAAAAAAAAAGACAGCACGGTTTATGATTGTTTTTTTTATGTAAATGAGACGAAGCTAGGGTAGTTTTTGTTTCTTGTCTAAGATTGATGGTGAGTCAGAATTGCCCCGGAAAATTCAAGGTTGATTTTCGTTACGCATCGGTCTCTAGGCGATGTGTAGATTCATTTCGGAGCCAACACGCATGCATATAACTGCGTGCGCGCCCATAAAATGACGCGCAGGCTAGACGACCGAAGGATTTCCGAAAGCGAATTATCAGTGCCCTCTAACATCCACCCCTTCCTGTAGGGAACGTCATCCCAGTCTGATGCGCCGTCAACTCAGCAATCAGACGCGAGACCGATGCCAAGGGTCCTGACGCGTTTTTTCTACACGAGGGCCAGCCGAGTGCTGACGCAGCATATTGTGTCCAATCAGTGTCTGCACAAGATGTCACTATGATGGCGTCAAAATTCTATACTTTGTTCCAGCTTAAGTTCCGACGCAGTCGATGCTACCCAACTTATAAGACCAATCAAGCTGCGTCAAAAGTCCAAATCACTGGGCCTTTTCTGTTTATGATCGGTTCAGAGGTGATCGAACACGTACAGAAACATGACTAACGCCATGATGTTGCGCTTTTGGTGCTCTCTGATTGGTCCCATGAGCTCATAGCGTCGTCTGCGTCTGGATATAAGGTGAAACGAAGTATAGTGCACATGATTTGACTATTCTATAGGTGGTGTTGGCTCATGTCGGCTGGTGACGTGCGCGGCCAAACGCGTCACGCGATTGACCAACCGCTCATTATGGCCGTGTTTCAAAATTTACTCGATCCTACTCCAGAGTAAAGGTTTTGTACCCTTGGCGTTCTAAAACCTACCCGCCTCTAGCGTTTTCAATCTGTGCTGTCACGTGATACGATCCGCCGGAGTAACGCGGATCCATTTGTGTAAGATTTGGAACACTGCCTATGACGTCTTTAGTGAGGTTAATTAGGCTTTCATTGACGACAATAAGAGTAATGTCACAACTTTCACCGTATACGGGTATTGGGCTAAGAATACGATGTCTGCAATCTTCCACCGAGCTCTTTACACCCACTCTCTAAGTTGTCGTTCGCAACTGGTAATAAGTAGCAAGGGCCACAACTCGTGACGCCACGGCAACAAAAAAAAAAAAAAAATACTTGTCGTGAAATCACAAACAAAACCCTCAGGCGACGCCATCCAAACATTACGCCGCTAATAGACAGCCAAATGTAAGGGTGGCTAGGAAGAATGCATTCACTGGCATGACGCATGAGACAGAAAAAGTGATGCAGGAAAGGCAGCGCCTTTCTCAGCATTTCAGTTCCTCCAGACGTGCACAACACGTCGATGCCGCTAATTTTGCTGCTGATTTCACGCAACAACATCGGTTGGTCGTAAAATTCCTGCGCCGTATTTAGTCAAATAGCTCGGCGTTCGGCTATGCCAGTGCTCAGCACTCAGTGACTTCTAACACTGACGTCGATGACGTTTCACAGCAAAAGACTAATATTTCTCAGCAGCTGTCCAATCTTTGTTCTTTCTAAACCCCCCCCCCCCCCCCCCCCAAAGAAAAAAAAAAAAGAAAAGTTTTTTGAAAACACACACAAAAAAAAAAACAAAAACAGAAAACAACGTCGTTACATAGTAGTATTACCAACAAGCTGAATTTTTGTGAAACGGGAGAAAGACCACGAACAGGTTACGAGTAATATGCGTCTGTACCAGACCACTCGAACTTATCTCTTGCGTTGTTTCCCGAAAGTAAGACATATCACAGCGTTATTAGCGCTTTCAGCGCAAGACAGAAAAACGCCACGAGCCGTTTGCCAAAATATGCGAGCAGGAAGTAAAGGTAACCGAAACATCGTTAATCTCGGTGGGAGTAAATTATTCAAGGTCCAGACTAATTTTCCGAACAGCGCTTCGGCTCCTTGCAGGCCAGTCAGAACATGCGTTGTACATCAGGTGGTGCCCGCAGCTGGCGTCGACTGGGAAGATATATCACGTGCTAGCCGACAGCACAGCTAAGTTGGAGGGGATTCCAAACGGGCAAGTGGAAACCAAACGAACCTACAGAATTTCATTAGGACGGCGTGCGTGCTCGAGTTTGAAATACTATTCCGGAGACCTGTTTTAGGGGATACCCTTCCACGAGACTTCAACAGTCAGTTAAACCGAAGCTGGAACAACCTTTTAATTAAAAAAAAAAAGACAAAAAAAAATTGCGAGAGTCAGGAACTAGGCACTTTAAAATAACGGGAAAAAGTTTGTTTTTAATGTTATTATATAGGAGCCACGTAATAGACCGATCTCACCAAGCGTTCGACGCACCCGCGACGCCGCCATAACATTAGTTCTCAAGAAGCAGGTGGCAGTGCCGGAGACTAGCGGTGTGCGAATATTTGAGTTTCGGATTTGAATCGAATAGGGCGCCGAGAGGGTGAGAGAAACGAGGAAGCCAAACGCCGGACGCCGGCGTTTTACGCGTTTTATTGCGTTCGAAGAGTGCAGTGGAGACAAACACAGCGAGTTTTAGGTGTACCCACTAATCGTTCCAACCAGAGCTCGCCGTTCTGACGTCCCCGCGTGCCCTCTTGTCCTCATCGATCTCTCTATTTGTCCGTCCATTGATTGCCCGCATAATTCTATTTGGCTTTCGAATTCTCAGTACTATTCGAGTTTTCGAATGATAATTCGATGCTTCGAATATCAGTACTGCTGGCAAAAATTCGGGCCTATTCATGAACACTGTCAATATGGTGACATTCTCCACACCGGCCTCTGCAGTATTTAAATCAAGTCTACATTGAGAAGCCTTGACTGGCGAATCAGTTCAATATAAAGTATAGTTGGTTTTCTTGCATTCCTCGAGTGTAGCAATCACACTCCTGGCTTCTCGGATGCACTCGACGAAACCCGCTAACCATGCCCGTCGCCATTTTGAATTCAAGGAGCTTGCATGATCTGCAAGTAACGTCCAGAATATGCAGATTAATGATTAAGGTGCAGACAGCAGCGATAACTATAAGCCC